AACGGACATGCTCTTTTGCTCATCGATGAAAGAACCCACGATCCAAAAGAGTCCTGCTGCTCGGTATTATGGTACCCGTTGACGCGCTACGTTGTGATGGCCCCGATTGCTCGTACATTTTTGGCCAAACATTCACTTTTAGAAACAAGGATGCCTCCTTCTACGTCGCGCGTCTGGCCAGATCGTTGTGTAACGGCCGACACACACGTTTTTCTCTTTGGTCTCGCGCGTCTGCCTGTCAAGTGTCGAAACTTTGCTGCCCCGAATTAGCTACGATTGTACGGACTGAACAGGTGACGGCTTTGAGGCTGCTCCATTGTAAACAAAGGAAAAAGGCATCGTAGCCAGGTGTAATCAGATTGTTTACAAGCTATGAAAGGCGATACGAGGGAAGAGTTGGAGTGAACTATTCTTGCGCCAATGCTAAACCCTAACCAAAATGGTTTAGAAGAGTAATATGCAGGACATGGTAGGATTTTAACCTACCCTGCGTCTTTTCTTAGTATACAGGTGGTAGTCTTTATAATTTTCATTTTTTTATTAAAATGAAATATGCAGAATGAGGTGTATACGTTGCAACCTAGCTGTGAATAGAGAAGGTATGAATTTAAGAAGGTTTGAGAGGATCAAATCTAAGCCTTTGATGGTACCTACCCGAGGGTTCCAACAGCAAATAAAACAAAGCATAGATAATAAAAACAGGTGTTCCTAGTCATTGCCCCGATATATGTCCCTGATTAAAAGGTTGCAAATCTACAACAACATTCCCAAAAGACACGTGCCTTGATCGTATTCCCAAAATGAATAAACTAAAAAACGAGCGTATCTGCAAGATGAAAACTTAAGTGGTCATCGCTTACAACGCCAGATATAAATAAGTTACGAAACATTGCGAATCCACTGTGTATCGCATCTTTGCTCCCTTATCTCACGTCGGATATGTTTGTCGCAGAAAAATGGACTTTTATTCAGTCGTTAATGCTCGCCTTTCCATAAAACGTCGACCCAGCGATTTTATCGTTCCCGATGTTCGACCAACGGTTCGAATCGACATCCATAACGAGCCGGCCTTCGTAAAAATCCTTCGAAGGCAATAAAACGTGTTTCGGGGACGCTGTTGTACGTTTATTTCCGTCACTATGCCCGGAGAAAGGATTGTCGCAACTCGTACGCACTAGGACATCAGACGTTGATCATCTCGCGGTCATCTGACACGCGATTCGACTGAACTTGAACGACAGATTTCGATGATTTCAGAAGTAGCGTCATCATTGATCGATTCTCAATTGATCAGTTTCGTCTATTAATAAAATTATGGAGGATTCATTGGGAGACTAAAAATTTTCAATTTTCCACTGTCCTTACAATTACAATTCAATTTTAACTAATTCCCACTCGATATAAAATTTACACCAAACTTCATCATCAAGGATTCAACAGTTGACGTAAAAAAAAGATTGCGTAGATGTAACGCAAATTGAGTATCTCGTGTTACGTGTGGGACAGGATGATGGCACACGAATTACGCAGGTTCGCCACCGTTTCGAATCGCAGCCCGTGAAAGTGGTAAAAAGTAAAAGTTAAAAAGGAGAGAGAATTAATTCTCTTTCTCCGCGGGCTCGTCCGGGATTTGAACCCGGGACCTCTCGCACCCGAAGCGAGAATCATACCCCTAGACCAACGAGCCGACTTGCCCAACTTTTTCTCAACTACCTTAATATCCTTGAATCAATATCATTAATTGTAATCAACGATCGCAACATCTTATTCGCGCTCGAACAATGTAAAAAAGATTGACCAATTAAACAGACAAATTTCGTTGATCCCCGGCATAGATATCGCTAGGATAATTGACCGATTCAAAGGCGGGAAAACCTGATCGCATCCTGCGGTTCGCAAAAACACAGCCAACGCGCATTCCTATCGCTCGTTTCCCTAATTGATTAGCTCTAAACGTATCGACGTGTCGTTTCTTGCCGCAGCGTCGAGAATTCCGCGTCGGCCCTGGGAAGAGAGCCGTTCGGGCTACGGTTGAAAAGAAAAAGCGTTAATTAGCTCGTTTGAATGGGGGCCGGGAACGCGAGTTTCTCGGAGTTGATGCACGTGGCGCCACCTATGGTACAATCGTTGCATTCCTGATTAAGCATGTGCCTGTCGCAGCTTTGAGATCCTTCCTTTCGATTACTATCTCGCAACAAAGTTGCAGGAACGTTGCTTTATATCGTGACAATGACAATCACCTTTGTTCCGAACTCTTCCAACTTGATATCGGTGCATAGAAAATTGTCTCGAAGCTTACTGCATGAAATTTAAATATCGAGACGTGTTAAGTAATTATTTTTGCTATAACCGGAAACCACAATCGAATGTTGTAAATATTTTAAAAATTGTAACAATTTCTATCGGTATAATCATCCCAAGGAAATTAATATCCTACAGGCGCGACAAATCACGCGTCCCTCTCAATTCCCTCCGTTAAGGGTGCAGGCTTCTTTACCGGAAGTCCTGGAGGAGAAACGAAAGCGCGAAGGTAAATCTTGCAAAGATTCATCGCCATGTTCGCGATACAACGGCCGAACGATTGTTATTCAAGGTAAAACGCGTCGGTGGCACGCTCGAAGCCAGAGAATACGCTTTCTTCTTTTTTCCCAATAGGAAGAAATTGCGGAAATTTCCCAGTAGGTTACTTTTTATTTCCATTTCTTCAACTACGATGGACAATGTCGTCCATTAACGTACGGACGGTTCGCGCTCGTAAAGATTAGCAGAGAGGTACGTCGTAAAGAGTAGAAGCGTTGCGACGAACGCTTTTATTGTACGTAGGAATGTTTGAGACAGTTTTTACAACGGTGCGTTTTAAGGGTGCCGCTGTTGGGCGACGTGCATATTTTTTTAATTAGAACTAAGCTCCGACCGTAAAAGACCATGGGACGGACCGATTAAACGATTCCATGACCACCATCATCGCTTTACGACACCCTCCTTCTTTCTCGAGCTAGGCATAATAACGTCTACCTATTGTTCACCGGTTGACCCACACTGTCTCGGCTTAGCTGACCATATTGTGTCTTCGTTTCTAGGTAAAGCAGCGCGTTTTCTTAGAAATCCCCTAATATTCTTGGAAATAAAAGCAGAGCTACGAAAGGACGATTTGTGTTACCTACTCGAACTATTGCTTACCCTCTGCAGGCACGCTCGATTAAACCATAAAACACGGTTTTACAAGTGTTTTAGAAACTGCCCTACCTCCGTCGTGAAAAAAATTCAATATTCACAATGCTTTCTATTCTTTCCGTTTTCTTGTAGAATTATTTTGTAACGAGTAAAACGAAACGGTATCATCGGTGCTAGTCGTTAAGATCCACCCGAGGGGTCGTTCTAATTATCCTTTCGACGGGCTACCCCCTGCTTAATTGCTTAACGATCAGCGATGATAGTACAGATCGATATCTTATCGATAATTCGGTGAAAATTCGAATTTTCGAAACGCGTTTCCATTGCTTGAGGGGGAACACCATTGTTTCGTGAAACTGAAATGTACTAGAAGAAATGAAAGGCGAAGAGGAATGTGCGCACACGCTTCCATATATCACCAACACAAACCCTAAAGCTGTTATCGATCATTAAGATCTCTATGATCTACGAGCTGCCATGGTTGGATCCTCAAGGATACGAGGAGAGAGAATTGTGTTACTCTGCACAAGTACGCACGGGGTATTTCTTTAAACTAATTTTAGCGCCGAGCAACTCTATGAGTAATACGAATCAGGTACCTCGTGAAAAGAACAAAGAAAGGAAAAAAAGTTTACCACGGGCAATATAAAGATGCAAGGTTAAGCCGCAATTAAGTTCGTTTCTTTTCCTGTTCGAAAAAAATCGCTTTCAAAGATAGATTTTTATGACAGCATTTCCGCCGAAACTAGAATCGTTCCTCGCCTCGCTTCTTCCTCTTTTGTTATTTCTTTTTTTAAGTCCCTCTCTACGCTCGAACAACGCGTATTCGATGTTGCATATCCTCGATAAATAAAGAAAAATGATACACCACGGGATGCGAAGAGCAAAAAATCTCTACAATATGTTTCGATTCAACCTCGAAACGACTCTGTCCGAAACGGCGTTACATAACCGATCGTTGAAGCAATCGTCATCATGAGGCACCATAAATGTTTGGTACAACAGAAATCCATCTACTCGAGAATGTCGAGAAACATGGCAACTTGAATAACTTATAAATTCAACTAATCAAAGGTCCATATAATTGTGAATAATAACTCCTTTCATAGTAATCGATGTTTGCCAAGAAATCGTTACAAGAAGATACTATCTACTACTGTTGCAATAAATTTATGCAGCTCTTTGTAAATGCCTATGACAATAACTGTGTCCAAAGCAAGCAGAATTCTACAAAGACGTTAAATCATTGAAAACTGAGAAGAAGAAAAGGAAAGCTCATAGATTTTCAATTTAGTAAGACTAAAACAAATAAAATTCTATAAAAATCCGCTGTGATCGCTAAAAACTGAGAGTAATAAAGGAGAAGCTCAAAAACCAGAGCTTACATTTCAAGTTTTCATTTTGGATGAATAAAAATCCAGCGATAACTCTAAGACGTCTCATCGTCGCATAGAACCTCGTCGGCTTCGACAGCCAAAGTTCAGATAGAAATGGAGTCCTGGCGGGTCGCGACACTCCTACCAACGATCCCGGAGCAGAGTGACGAAGGGAGGGAAAAAGGTGCAGCGAGAGAAGGTCCTGGCAAACCGCAGGATCGTTATCGATACCGCGAGCAGCTTTGTCGCGCAAACCTGTGCGTCGTGGGTCCACCAGCTACGAGAGGGTAGGAGGAGAAAGAGAGGCATAGAGAGGGGTAGAGTGGTTGAGGCCCCTCCCTTGTGCCCCCACCCCGTCGGCCGAGAGGATCCCTCCGGTCGTCCAGCAGGACCCCCCACCAAAGGTACGACAGGACCCGCGGGCCCACCTGTGCCGCGGATGGACCCTGCACGCTTCTCCGCTGATCCGACGCACAGTGTGCCCATAAGGCCCATTCGAAGTATACTTACGAGAGCGCGCGAGGCCTAGCCTGGCTAAGCTGAGCTAAGCGAGCGAGCGAAGCGGTCGACCGATCGAGCGAACCAAGTGGGACCGTAGAAAATAATTGGAGGTGGGGGCTGATTCAAGAATCGACGTGGACACCCTCGCCTTCCAAAGTCATTCACCTAACGGTCATCGTCGCGTCAAGAATCTTCTTTTTCTTCTTCTTCTTCTTCCTTCCTTCCTCTTCTTCTCCTCGTTCTTTTCCTTCCGTTATCCGGCTGGCCAAAAGGGATTCCCTGATCGCGCGGGATCGTTGAGTCTTTTCCTCCGAGCATCGATAAAGTGGACTTGTTTTCGCTTCGATCGAACCAAGTGACAGCAGTGAGAAAAGAGACTGTTATCAGTTTGCTTGGTTCCTTTCTGGACATCTGTGTGATCAGCCGTTTGATGGAACAGTGGGAAGTGTCGAGAAGGATTCGATGTGTTTATCAGTGAACTGAATCGAGGAGTTTCGAGGTAGCCGACGGTATCCGGTGGCTACGATCGGAGTGACCAGTGTCGCGGATATATTATTCGCAACGTTATGGTGACAGAGTGTCGGATGCTGTGGGGTACAAATTGAGAAACGGACCACCGTTGATGATCCTCGTGAAGCATTGAACCTCGTCGCATTTAAGGTAGGCAGATTATATCCATCCGGTGATAAACGATTGACTCGGTGTACACATTTCATTCGCGCGATCATCGGGCTCGTTTGAAACTTATAATGTCGCGCGACCTAATGCAATCGCGTTCGCATTTTGTAGGACACTCGTTTCGTGGAGCGAATCGCGCGCACACCTAACGAGTCGAGCAGAAGAAGCGAAGGACGCGTGCGTTTCGTAATTTTCAGCGCGTGCCGTCGAACGATTTCTTTGTCTTTGATCGTGACACGAAGCGAAAAGTGTCACGGTTCGACAAGATTCCGCCACGATACCGCGTCTGACTAATGCGAAAATTCGAGGCGGTAAGATTGCGCTAATTATTTATTCATTAGTTCGACCGAGATCTTGACAGCGTGTTTATGATGGAAATTTCTAGCCTGGAACTCGCTCGACGAATTCGCTATAGAATATGTCGCATATTTTACGGTGTTTCAACAGCCTATTGCGCGATCGTTAGATACGAATCTGAGCGAGCCGGTTATCGAACAGCGATAGAATAATAGCATCGGAAACAAACGGTCCACGTTGCATCGCGCGAAGGCCGATCGCCGGAGCACGCGTTGCGGAACGCCGTTTCGTTTCGAAAGACCGGAAGTCGCTCTCTGCAAACTAGATCGCGTTGTTTTGCGAAGATGAGACGGAAAAACGCGAAACGCGGATCCTTGTCGGGTAATTTCTTAATAATTAACTCCTTGCATTATGATTCTTTGAATTACTTGCGTCACTCGGAGACGCAAGGTTCGTAATGACAATTTGAAAACTTTTAATTATTCGTGAAAATACGAATCGAAGCTTCAAAATCAACTGTAAGGGACATGATCTTATAATGCAAGGGATTCAAAATTAAAAAATGAGTCCATTAAAAATTTTCAAATACGATTATTTTTGGAATATTAAGTGTAAGTTGAATGTTAACTACCTCATCGACGACACCGAGTTATTATTAAGAAATTAAACTGATGTTAAATTAAACCATTCGTATGGTAAACAAAACGAACGCGATAGTAGATAGCGTACTAACAAAATTATCGACAGCAGAGAAAAGAAAAGTGTCGCAGAAAAGACCGCTACTTTTTATTACAAATTGCCCCCGATAATTACAGCCGACAGTGAGCAGTAAAAAAATGACCTGCCTATGTCCCACCCTGCCAATCCGACCCGGCAAAGCTTCAGCTTAGCTTTAGTGCTCGAGAAAATAAAACCCGAGCCATTTTTCGCCAATAAAAAGGTGAATAACGGTAAAGTCGGTACGAAAAAGCGACCGGGACCTTTTTTTTTTACAATCTTTCCTAGTCCCAAAGGTGTAGTTTAAAAATCGTCGAGCATAAGCACGGCGACGGGGTGGAAAAGTACGCTGAGTTTGTTAGAGCGAGTGGTATAGGTGATGGTCGTAAAACTTAATCCAGGATCGTAGACTGAAAAACGGAACTAAACTCATTTCCTGACCAGGCATGGCACGGTGTCGTGAGAAAATGGAAAATTCTACGGTCGTGCCTGGTGCTCGTCGTAGACGCGGACGAAAGTAACGAGGCGTCGGTCATTTAAAATAGTTCCGCTAAAACGGTCAACGTGCTGCGACTTTCACGCGCATGCAAATCAAGCAAAAATCTGCTAATTCCGAAAGAAACCTATCGCACGTGTGTTCGAGCACCGATGCCGTTTAATTAATCCTCCTGACGATTCGTATTAGTCTGGTCGGGCTGCTTTCAAGAAAAATCACCGATCGTCACCTGTTAACTTTATAGAAATTAAATCAGGATACTTGTCGACTTCATTAGTCCAAAAAAACATTGAAAGTACGTTGTTTCTCCCAAGATGGGTACTGAAGAAATAAATGATTAGGTACTAGGCTCCGTCTTTCTAGGGTTAATTAAGACGGAAGAAGAGAACGATAGATGTTTTTATCGAGAAGGTCAGCTCTAGAAAGGAGCACGATCGTTGAGCTGCTAAGATAGGAAAGGAACTTCGATCGATCCCTTTGAACGTATCAACAATTGCACCTTTAAAGTATTTTTCCATAGAGTCAGCGATGATCGGAATCGATCGCACTGAAAGTAACGAGCCGTTACGATTCTCACGGCTCGACTAGCATAATTGCGACCTCGTGACGAACCTTGATGATCTTGAGGACGATCAGCTTTACCCCTTCTCGTATACGAAAACGAAAACCTAAATTTCATTTCGACAATGTCTCGTTGGGATTCTCGGAAGAACTGTCCAACTTTCTCTGTCGCGAATGAACCATATCTCGGGGTTCACCAGAAATAATTATCGTGCCGATGTTTTGAAACCATTAGCGACGTGGAGGCCAGCAATTTCGTGAGGAATAACTTCTAAAGCGGTAGATCTATCGACTCGTAAACGCGAGGCACGCTTAATTAATCACCTTGTTTTGTCGTGACCGTGGATAGGCCATAATTAAAAGTCATTTATTAGGGGAACATTAAATCATCTATCATTCTTTTCGCGTCGTGTATTCTATTAAAGCCCGCTAAACCGCTCGGTATCACCACCGTACGCTCTCTGTGTATGCGTGTAAGTACATATTGCGACAGACGGGAACGTAACAATATTGTATACGCTTTTAAAACGTTGCAAGTTGATTGGACGTGAAACGTTCGAGTATGCAGGCACCCCCTGAATGGCTCACCGGATGCACACCTGCAATCAGTGCAGGTTGCAATACCTCGGGCGCATCGGAGCCGAGCGTTTTGTTGCTCGACGCGTACTCGCACCCGAGCGTCGAATCCGGCGAGCGTCGTCCCATCGGTAATTAATAGCACAGAACAATCATCGTTCAGCCGTGCCCAGTACAAACTGTACAAACCACACTTCGCTTCCCCTCTTCTGAAATATCAACGAAGCCTGCAGGCTGTGTTTAACGAGAATACGTCGTCATTTAAATTCAATTAACCGAGACGCAAGCGATCTCCTTCTCTGTTTCTCCGACATCGTGGCTCCGTGTGCCGGCTCGATTTCGCGAGGGCAATCGTCGAGGTCCAACGAGCAAACCGCGACGATTGCCTCACGCTCGCGGATACGCTAGTTTTTCCGCACGATTCGAAAATCCTACTCTGTAGCAACGTTGGTTAACACGATCCCGTGAAAAGACTGCTTCGATTGCTTTTTTTCTGCTAGTAGAAAACGAGATCGTTTCTCCGTAAACATTGTTCGAGAATTGATTCATCGTTCAGACGTGTATAAATCCCGTCGACGGGGGGATCGATGCGGATGAAAGTTAGCAGGCGACCAGGAAGCGACGGAAAACGGAGAAAAAAGAATCGAACGCGGAATTAAAAGTATGCGTAGGCACGAAGCGTTTCCAGGCGTACGGGAACGTCCGCGAATGAGAAGTGTCAACGACTGTGGGGTGTAGGTCAGGAAAGAGAGACTCCGTTGATCAAACAATCGATGTCTCTTCCATTAGCTGAGATTTACTTTCCCATTTAGCGACAGTCCGTCATGTATGAAAGTCGCCGCGGGTGACACCGTGTACCCTCGGGCTACGTATGTGGGTCACCGGCTATTGTTGTCCCATATTCTGCCTTCTATTCGGAATTCACCGAAACGATATTTCTGACAAAACCAGAATCCAAAGATAACGTCTGTAACCATTTATTTCTAATATTTCGTTTTTGAAACCCGAATTCTCCTCGCCAAAAAACGCTAAGGTAACAACCCTGATGGTGGCTCGTGCCGTTTCGCGAGCGACGGAAAATCTTGTCGGTGTTACGTGATTCCGAAACGAAAGGTCGTTATGCAAATGGCCACGTTTACGGCCGATGGGGAGGAGAAGAAGAAGACAAAGTAAAGGAACAGAGGCGGCGAGGTGTGAAAACGAGACCGCGGGGCCGCAATCTGTTTTCTGGACGAGCGGCCAAAGAAGGCGAAAGGAGGCAGCGAGAGGGAACGACGGAGACGAAGAGATTCGAGAGAGAAAAAGCAAGCGCACGAGGGTTTTCCGCTCGTTGAACGTAACACGCACCGCTTTGCCACGATCCAGCGATTCGCGCAAACCGGCGAATTGCGTAACGAGCTTCTTCTCGGTTTCCCAATCGCGAGCAATCGTTCGTGGGCGAACGATAACGCTTGTGCATTGTGATTTCGTCGAGACACGCGGCGACATTACGCGATCACCGCGGCGGACCATCGATTAGGTTTTCTACCCCCTCGGTTTCGCCATTCGCCGTAACGGAAGCCGGTGATTGTCGAAAGAAATCGCGGCTACTCGAACCACCACAAGTCTTATCGATGCGAACGTAGATAGGAAATATCTTTTCAGCTTCAAAATGACGACCAATTCAAATAACCTTCTTTATCTCTGTTGCAGATGAATCAACAGTGCAAGGTGTGCGGCGAACCCGCGGCCGGCTTCCATTTTGGTGCATTCACCTGCGAGGGTTGCAAGGTGAGTCTTCAACGAAAGATGATCGAGAAATTTTCTTTGGGACAAAACTAACGTTTGCAATAACTTATTAAATTTATAACCATCATCGTTTGATTTTATGACAAATTTTCCACGCATTTTGGATTAAATAACAATTCAAAGGTACTTTCTCTTGATGTTCGAAAGTAATGGAGCGGCGAATTGATCGGGAAAAGAAAAAAATATTCAGCAGCGCTCCAGTTGGAAGCAAAGAAACGAATTACTGAATTTTTTACATTTCGTCTCCTTTTTTCTAAATCTTATTGGCGAATGACTTTTCCGTGGTTTCGCAAAGCCGAGAAACGCTGATCGCTTTCACGAGCCGCTTCGTGGCCGAGGTTAAACGTTTGACTAGGCATGCGTGTCAACCGGGAGCCCCCCCGAAAGTAGCAGAAACCACGTTTGCTTGTACCACTGAACGATCACTGTGCAAGGGGAACCACATTTCTAGTTTAAAGAGCGGACTTTCGCGAATAGGACGACCAATCGATTTCTCTCATTTATGGTAATTCACAGATTTCGGGGAAATAATCAATTGAAGAAACTTGGGACACCGATTGATAGGTCAGAGTCTCTTAAAATAGTAAGGTGTACCAATTTTAGAGAAGTGAGAATTAATGTTAAGGAGAACTGTAATAAGCGACAGTTTCTACATGCTTAAGAATTAGCGTCTCAAAAGCAGGACATCAATTTTCGTAATTCCTTTTTAAGTAGGGCGATCTTTCTTCTAAAGTAATCGTTTATTCAAACAATCTAGCTAATACACCTTAATATCAAAAAGATCTATAATACACCCTCTATAAATGAATCATTACCTTGACCCTTTTACTCTCGTACATGTGTAATAAATAGAAATTCTTTTAATCTATTGCGTTCGTGCCGTGTTTCAAGGAATGGTACCAAAATGTCCGCCGATGGAGAACGCGTGACTCAAAGTGTTAAAAGCAAAAAGATGAAAAATGCAAACGGATCGATCTACCTTACGCAAAATCGAACAGCCACAACACGCGCTGGAATTTCGTACTACAGGATTCCGTGTTTCACGCACGAGTCGAGCGTAAAAGCAAATGATGCCACGGGGAACAGAGTGTGTTTCTGTATGGGTGGGGAAGAATAGGGGGACGGAGAAGGGGAGCTGACATGCTACGGTGGGCCTGAAAACGAAAATAACGAAACGAAACAATGTCGAGCTGACGTAACGGTGAACTAGGGCGGAAACAATTGTGGCAGACAAGTGCGAAGCGCCGGAAGCACCGCCTCGTGATACGAACGAATTGACGAAACGTGCACGTGCTCGCGTGGCCACAATGTCTTCCACTGGATCTGTCTCACGATTAAACGATCCTGCACGCGATTTCAAACTTCAGCTACATACGTAATTAGGTCACTCCAAAAATTATTTCTTTCGTTTTTAAATAAAATTTAATCTTTTAATTTTGAGCCACACAAAATAAAAAAAATGTTATATGCAATCACAAAATTTTTAAACTTGAAGTAATTTGGAATATAATCTTTGATTCCCCCCAAAATTAGCTACAATAGCTTATTTCTGATTCAAAGTACAAAAAGTAGTTATATGCAACCAAATTACAAAGCAGAAAATTAAAAAATTTTTTAACTGGTTAAAGTTACTTGGAGTGTAATTTCTGATTTCCTAAAAACTCAGCTACGATAGTTCAGATTTTACCCGAAAATTCGGTTATTTAATGCTAAATCACAATTCAATTTTCGCCGACTAACCTGTAAATGATATTCGATTCGCGATTAACATCTAGGCAAGAAAAGCAGTGGAAACGATACAATGCTTCATTATCGTCCATTGAGAACGAATTTCAGTTTTGTCCGTGTTGTTCCTCGCGTTTTTTCCGCCGCGTGAGTCAGAGAGATACTGTTTCTTACGGTAGGAAAGTTCACCGTGGCGTAATTAGCCGGTCTATTTATCGGGCGGTTTTCGAAAGGAAACCGTAACAATCGCTGAAACGTTTTGACGATGAAAAGGCCAGCGCAAACATTGTGTTGGCTGCTTTGAAGTTTCAAAGGCGGAGGAGAGACGTTTGCATAATCCAAGTGCACTTGTAGACCGACGGTAGAGAGGAACGGTAATAACGGTAGCATTTTCTCGATTGTGTCATCGCTCCTGAAACATCGTCGCGTATATGTTATATCCCCGTGATCCTCCCTCTTGGTCCCGGCAAGAAACGACGACGCCGAGGACGATGCGCCGGCTGATGGACAGCAAAGACAAGTGGAACACGGTGTCGGTTCTCGCGATGCGCGCGTATCGGGACCAGTGGGCCGCAGGAAGAGCTCGTTTTCGGAACAAACGAACCAGAAACGATTAATAATATAGCGTGCGTACGAGCAGAAAAAAAAAAGCGAAAGTCTCTGTGTACGTTCCGCGTCTCTTTAAAGGCTGATCATTACCGCGAAGGGCGAAATTTTCTGTCGGGTTGCACAGGAAGCCGTAGGTGTTTCGGAGCAATACTCGGCGACTTTAAATGCATAGGTTCGAACGCGAGGCCGATTCCGATGTATGTTATAAAGAACGAGGTCTTAAATTGCACGCGTTTCGTAAGACGTCCGCTATCATTGGTTCTTCGTCGTTGCCTGCTTCACGATCACGTGTTTTTCAAATAATTAAAGGCGTAATCAGAGCGGTCTCTAGTGCACGAGGAACCCGGAGCAAAAGTAGATAATATTGAAAACAGTTTAGAATCTATTTTAATAAAACTACAAAACGATGTGAAATTGATTCTTCCATAAATGAATAGAATATCGCAAGATAAGTAAAATACGGTTCGCGATTTCGTTCGCGGAAAGGAAAGGGTTAAGTTAACAAAGAGAATAGAGAACGAAAGGAGATCGGTGCTCTGTAACTCTGACACGGAAAGGCAACGGTGTCGGAATCATGGAATTGCACCATTTGGGCAATTAGCACGAGCACAGTAGGCCGCACGCGCCTACACCGGTTGGCTCCCCGCTGTACAACATGAATGAGACAACCGGAGCACGCTATTATGACCTAACGACTTTACTGTACTCATTACGAGGGTTACAATGCCGTTGCATTCGCATAACTCGCCTCTTACAAGGAGAACTCCGCGAGTGTCTCCGTAAGACTTTAATGAGCATTTGCATGTTGATAGATAGTGTTATTACGAATCTCCCTAAACCATACACATAAAGTTTCTATCAAGGCAAAACGGGGTTTGCTTTGAAAAGAAAATATACGAAGAATAACAAAAAAAAATTGTCTTCTGATTGTTTCAGTCGTTCTTTGGGAGATCATACAACAACCTGAGCAGCATTTCCGAGTGCAAGAACGGAGGCGAGTGTGTCATCAACAAGAAGAACCGAACCGCCTGCAAGGCTTGCCGTCTACGAAAATGCTTGCTGGTAGGCATGTCGAAATCGGGCTCGCGTTACGGACGCAGATCGAACTGGTTCAAAATTCACTGTCTACTTCAAGAACAACAGCAGCAACAACAACAACAGCAACACCATTACCAACAGAATCTCCCCAGTCAACAACTAGCGCAACAGCAACGAAAACCTATGAGCCCACCTATCGGTATCCACGCGGGTCAACGAAAGGACGACGTTCTGATGCTAGGTCTGGATGACTACAAAAATTCAACATCACCCAGTATCAGTTCTCCAGAATCGCATAACAGCGACAGTTCTGTAGAGATATCCGAGAGACGAGCCGCGTTCTCGGGTCATCCAGGATTTAGACCGTTGCATTCTCACCTGCAGCCCTCTGTGGCTGAACTGTCCGCGCTCAGCAAAGAGATGATGAGCCTACCACTTGGTTTCCACCTTGGTGGCATGTCTCTGATACCACCAGCTTTTCTGCCACCACCGAGCCTAACAATGTTCTCTCCGTATCATTTGTACGCGACCTCCCACGGGGCTTCCCATCCGTTGGTATCTAACCATTCGTCTAACCTACTTCGGCATTCGCCAGTGATCGAGGATTGCACCGGTGCAACCACCACCGCGGCCACCACCGCCACAACAACCACCACTACCATCAGCATCGACACCAAGGATCCATGCGGGAAGAACAACAATAATAACAATGACACATACGCGCATAATCATAACGTACAACCGTCGAGACGAAGCGCCTCCCCTAATCCGGAGATAGGAGAAACTTATAACAAACGATTCTACCTTGACGCTGTGTTAAAGAGCCAACGAACACGCGTCGCGGGTTCTCCAGTAGGGTCTGTGAAGCAACGTTCGGAGGACGGTTCTCCAGTTTGCAGTCCAAAACCGGAGACCGATTGTCCACCCCCGCAGGACAATCCTATAGACCTGTCCATGAAGTCTACTCTGACTGCTACGAGCGAGGAGAACGAGGATGACGAGATAGACATGGAGAGCGTGAGTGACAGAGACAGCCCTCCTGTCAAGAAGAAACCAGCACCCATAGATCTGACAACGAAATCCTAGGAGGTTCAGTTGGGTTCGTAGGTGAAGCTGAAGTTCGCTCGAGGCGCGATGAATCGCGTCCGTGTCTATTTACCGCGAAGACAGGACGGTCTGGCTTGGAGCGTGGAAAGTGGTTAGCCTGTTGCCAAATACGGCGTGTGAGAAAGGGACGCGAGACGTCGTAATCAATTACGTTCCCGTTTTACCCCTCGATCGTCAGTTGACCGCTCGAGCGAGATTCTTCGAATTACGTTTAATTGCCTTCCAGATGGTGGCGAGGAATTACCGGATCGACCTGATCGTTCCCGCGCCGCGGAGACAAATCATTCGCGCCGAATCGTTAAACGCGATTCGCGAACTGTTAATCTCGCATAAATATCCGTGGGCCCGGTTGCTTGGAAGAATGAAGGATTAACGTCTCAATTCCTAGTAATCATTGCGCGGATCGCGAGTCGCCGATCGATGGCTGGTTGCGCAAAAGCCAATCGACTTTAACGAGAGTCCTCCGCTTTAATTAACGAGCGGCAGCTCGCTCGCTCGCGCGGTAATCATGCGGGAGAGTGCGACGGAGAGACGTTCGCGGAAGCAGGAGGAGAGCAACCGTGGCCGGTGTGCAACCGTGGTGCATCGCTTGATAAACACGTCAAACTGCGGGGTGCACGTGTTCGAAACGTGCGTTACAAACCGGCGTACACGTGTAAGAACGTTGCCAACCGCTTTATCTTACAAGTGTTCGACGCCTGCCAATGTAAACGCCTCCGTCGCCGCGCCGCCGCCTCTTCGCTGCTTTTGTCCCGCGACTGTTTGCTCTCGCGGCCAGGAATCTCCTTCGATACGAGGAATCGCGACCGACGACGGACCGTGTTTACTGGAATCCATGACGGATCCCGCGAATATACGAAATTTTCGGTGAAACGCGCCCTCGCGTCGCGATCGAAGGTTTACGCTCGGTAAAACGTGATCCACCCTCCTCCCAATACTTTTCGCGGACGTGATCGTGACAATTTCGTGACAACGAATGATACCATGTATTTAATACGAGTGGAGCGTTCGAGACAAGAGGATCCATCATCATGTACATAGACTGTAAATATCGAATGGAAACGTGTATGTTCTTTCACGTTTACCATGGATCGTAATGCGGAACGCGTTTCTTGTTACTTAAATCATTGTTAACGATTTTTATACACCTAAGTTTTGCATTAGATACACGTTGTCGAAGATTCATCGAAGTAGTCAATAAATGGCCAGTATTTCGTTCTAAAGGATAATTTCGTTGAACGTATTTAGGTAGCGTATTTCGGACACGTGCAATCAGAGGTCAAAGTTGGACTCTTTTCATTTGAATAACGAATATGATATTCGACAATAATTTTGTATCGACTCTCAAAGTAATCACTCAAGAATCTTAAGCCGTTCGATATAGCTGCCATTTGAAATAAATTATAATTCTATTAATATTTCTTAATCATCGTTCAAATAAGAAGTGGTCAACTTTGATACACGTATTCTATTTAATTAGTTGCCTACTTGTACGCGGGCACGGTGTAACTTGATTAATAGCGAAATATCTCGATTAGCAAATATAAGGCGGGGACACAAGTGTAAATAATAAGTAGGCGAGGTTTGCAAACGGGACCCGGGCCAGTAAGTACTTACTTGTATATAGCCAGTAGATGATAGAGACTAATGAACTACAGTGTTCAAATTAATTGAAAGATGTTACTAAACGATTCAAGTATAAAGATAAAGAATACCACGCGTATCGTTTCAAACATTGGTTACCATATTTAAATAAAAATCTAATTGGTTACCATATTTAAATAAACGTCTAATTGGTTACCATATTTAAATAAACATCTAATTGATCTGAGTGGTGTATTTTATAATTTTAAAGAATTATGTAAATCAATTGATGCGACATCTTTCGTCAAGAAAATGAATTACAAATAGAAATATATGATACATTTAAACCATGCTATTTCACAAGTAAAGTACAAAATCCATCGAATCCCTGGGCCCTTTTATTGTGTAAATACATATAAATTGTTCGAAAGATATGTGTTCGAAACTACTTACATAGTTCTGCATCTACGTCGGTGCTGTCATCTAGGCTGGTCAACTTCTATCAATATAGATTGTCCAGCCCTTCCTTAGCGACGTTGATCGATCGACACTCGTCACGGTGATAATAGCAAGAACCTGCAAAGCATTGACCATTAAATTGTAGAATTAGCAATTCCTTAGAGTTACAGTAAGCCACTCACTGCCAGGTCGAACTAGTTAACGAGTGAAAACTAGAGCGAGCTATTGTACAGAATTTTTAAATTAACGAACAAAATTGTTAATAGAACGCGATCGATTGGAAATTCGTTAAAATAATGATTAAAGAAACAATTTTTATTTTATTATACTCGATATCATGTATTCACGGCAATCGATAACGTATAAATGGATTTTTGGTGATAACCGATCAATAAAGATTTTACTTTTGTTATAAATTGTCGATATAAACATTGCTGCGATAATTTTTCGTAACGTTTCTGTATCCTAACAAGATTATGCGAAATAAACGAATACGAACGTACATGAGATTCGAAAAAACGTTAAGAGCAAGGATACGTAGTGCATTAAGGATACAGAAGAAAGATGGCCGCTCTAACTCGCGACGCTTCAACATGAATATTCAACGTGCACCAAGCATAAATTCTTTCGGTTCGAGAGTCCGTATGCATATGCAGTTGACGAAGCATTCGCGCGACGAACATTAAAGATTTTCGTTCAAATATTAATTGCTTTAGGTACAATGATGTTTTTAGAACTTCGTGAACCGTGTGTTTCGAACGAAACAAGCGCACTTATGTGCATCACGCGGGAAAAAAAATGCCATGCGCAAATGTACGGGCCTTTTCGCAATATCTCTGCACGACAAGCGCAAATATTACGTGCACCGGGTAAAATGGTCAATATTCAATCTTTGTTGTGTAACTTACCTGCAAACACGGCGTCTATTCACGAATAAATAGTTAATAACGACGAGCACTGGTTAACACTTCCACGCTTTTCGAAAACTACCGGAACACGTGGAACGCGAAACAGGAATGTGCAAACCGGAACAATCGAAGCGGGAACATTTAAAATCATTTTTTAAGCATTTATGTTCTACACTTAAGGAACATAATTTTGCATCTTTACAATCCTGAAAAATTATTACATTTGAAAAATGATGGAAAACGAACATTTTATATAATTGATTAAAAAGAAAGTGACAAATCAATATTCACTTGCATACTATGTATAACCTAGAACTAAAATAGGTACTTACTTCGAATTGTTATGCACATTAGTACTAGAACAAAATTACAATTTTAATTGGCTAGAAGTAGAATTTGTGCGACTTTATTTATCGAACATACATCCGTGTCATCGGTGCCTTTGATAACCTAATACCTATTCAGTAGTTCGCATTTTTCCGTGGATTTTCACATTTCACGTTTACTTTCGAACGCGCCACTGTAATACAGATTAGATTTCGAAGCCATCTATTCACATAGTAATTTAACACTCGGTTTAACAAGTTTCCTGAGAATCGGCCTGTTCTCCATAGTATATCAGATACATCCATTATGCGGAACACGAAACATCGTTTGGCATACTTTGATTCCTGTCGAGAGCCAAAGTCTTTAATTGCAAGCAAATATCGGTCGATTTCAATCGACTACCACTTGGTCATTCTAATGAAACTATAAATTACAACTAAAAACATACGATTTATTCTTTATTTATGAATAGTATAAAAAATTACAATGCGTATTAAAAATTTACTTCATACATAAACAGAACAACAATTTCACTTTTAACAATATATTTAAGTTCTATAGTAAGCTTCCGGAAGTTGTATGAAAGTTATTATTTTTATAAATGTATGCGATCGTATATGTACAAGCTCGTGAAATTAAATATACTTATACGTTGTTAATGAGTGGATTTGGGAACTGGATGGCTAGGGGTAAAAACTTCGTAATCTACTACAGAGAAATGATAGTCTCCCATCAATAGAGTATTCGAAGCGTGTTCACCTTCATAGCTGTGAGGAAGATTACTATAGCTTTCCATATTCACGTTACAATTACTAGAAATGAGTAAATCGGCTCCCGCTCCAAAAATTGGTCCAATACTGTAATATCATTAAAAAAAAGAACAATATTATTTTACTAAACGTTAATGTACTTTTTTATACTTGTAGATGGAATGATGATATTTACTCTGGGTGATAACAAATTGCAAAAGGTTTCTTCACGATGTCGTATTTTGTTGGAGGTACATCTTGGTTATTTGTTAATGTAAACAGGAAAGCTTTTTCTGAAAAGATGTAGTGTCCTTTAGCATTTGTCTTGCCCCATGGTGCATCACTGAAACCCCCACAAATTTCTCCTCGAGTTCCCTAAAGAATTATTTTAAAATTTATCCATCTATATAATATGAAATATTCAAATTACATACCAATGCAATTACGTATGTTGGGCAAATTCCATCGCAATGCCGGTGAAACGATGCTGCTGAGTAACCATGACTAGAGGCTCTGGAACACATTAATAATGAGCGTGCTCCATTAGCATATAATTAAGTTTGATTGAGCACATTAAACATACCGGTACACTAAACGCCAAGTCTGTTTCGGTGATCCGTACCACTGATTCAGAAGACGTTGGAAGCCCATCTTATCTCTAGATAAGATTTGTGATCCAGGGAACAGTAATGGACTTACTCTCGGTTGTAGCCGTTTGTCCGCGCAAATTTCTGCATACTTGTTCGGGAGCGCTGCATACCTATACCTAAAACAAGACGTACGAATCGAAAGCCTCCAGGATAAACAAAACTTCCTGGCAAAGCATACCTTGTGGGTTTTGAGCCACTTGATCGATCGGGATTGAAAAATTCGTACCTCTCCAAGGAAAGTTCTATGGGCACCGCTCCCGTCGGTTCTACTTCCTCCGCAAAGACTTGACTGTCGATTAGCAGCAGGCGAACATGATTTATCACTCCCGATAAATGTTGGCAAACCCTCACACGTTCCTCCTCTGTCCAGTGTTGAGTAGGCTGCGTCACCCCTGCCTAGGAGCGTGGTCCGTACGGTTAAGCGTTCCTTAACTCGTAATTCTAAATTCCGATCCAAGAACCTAAGGACCCAAGGACCCGGTAATAATCGTATGCGACATAAGGTCTAAGACCTTGTACGACATACGCACGATCAGAGCGTTAAGCCTTCTTGGAGTTTTCAAAGGGAATCAAAGTACTCGGAAACGGAATAGAAGTTTCAAGGAAAAAGAACCTGATATTTAGCCCAGTTTAGTACCGCTCTCCAAACATCTTCTTCCTCCAATCCCAGATAGTCTGAAGATATAAGCTTCACCAATGCATCCTTTGGAAGATTACAAAATGCTGTTGTTTTGACTATGTCTACAGCATTTTCTCCTATGTAGGTAAAGCATCTCTCGATGAAAGAAGAACAAGCTCCTTTACCACCTATGGCAGAAAAATATAACACCAACAATGTTTCTTATTAACTTAAATACTGTTGTCTCATAAACAATGATACTTAACTTTTAGAGAAACTAACATTATGTCTGCTTTTTGTTAAACAATAGAATATAAAGATGTAACAAAGGATATTGGAATATAACTATAAAAAAGAAATTGTAAGATTTGATTCAAAAATATTTATTCAATGTATGTTTAATTCACATTAGTTATGTTTGCAGTTCCATCATATATTTACATGTAGGGTTCATTTTAAAACTAAATAATAGTATAAACCTGAATACAGTTTGATATCATTTACATACAGTCTTCTGTCGAACAAGATACAAACATGTTACAAACAGTTTATAATGCTTGAATGCTTTTATTCTTTGAAAGAATTGTTCTATTACCAAATTACAACAACAAATACATTTTCTAATGAAGAATAATACTGTCATTTCAACATGACACTGATATTTTCAGTTACAAATTGTGCTGATCAATTTATAATTATTTATCCTAATGGATTCAAATGTTCTCCACATTGAGGGTTTTCGGGTCACTTCTCTTGGCGTACAGTTTATTCACGTGAGTTTCACACACGTAATCTTTGCACAAAATAAAAAACAACGTGTTTGTTATTCGTCCTAGAACGTCCTCCGAGGTTATGGTTCAACATCTAATTCCCTCCTGGATTCGTATTTTGTATTAATGTTATGTTATCGCCTTTTAACATGATCCGTCCAAGTGGTTTTCTGTTCTTAGTCTTCAAATGATATTCCTCCGCATCGTCCAGCACCAAATTCATGTATTCATCAAATCCGACGATATGACCCTCAATCCGTAGATTTATGTTTTCAAATAACCAAACTTGTACCCGTGAACGGTTTTGTAAGTATCGAAATATAAGGTTGATGGGTTGTACCATCACCTTCTGAACTTTCTGTGGTCCCTTGTATGACATTTTTGTGATGATTTTTAAAAAATTAACAGGCAACGCTCAATAATCGCGTGCTTCGTAACTGCCGGACGCCGGAAGATGTGGCGTCGTTGTCGTACCAACTGTTGCTCCTAAATTTCACTTCGCACACTTTTTTACAACGAATATGTTTAAAATTATTCCTTCTTTAAAAACAATTATAATCGGTAACAGGGAAGATATAGATCCGAAATAAATTTAAAATTTGTGTTTTCTAATATTTGATAAATATGGGTAGTAATAAGTACTTTTGTATTGGTACCACTGGAGTTTCATGGCGGTTTCCTGTAGCGTGCTGTTTCGAGTGTGAATAATGTCGCTTACATTACAAGTTCAAACAAAGTGTAAAATAATTCGTTTACGTAATGAGTTTTTGTGCGCCGCGAGTTGGGAGAATCTGGAGCACCTTCACGATTTTGGTGTCACGATATATTGCACCAATTGCAACTGGCGTCATATCACAACGCTATTGAAGGTAGGAATTCGAATCAGGAATATTGATAAGTTTACATTATTTTAAGCCATAAGTAAAGCAGATGGCAGCTAAATAATTTAATAAGCTGCGAATATTCTGCAAGCTTTACTTTGATATGTTCTTAAATTTTATATCAATGCGAACTTTAAACACGTGACTACAAGCGTTCTTCAATGTTGAACGAAGAGATTACTGTCTTGTAAAGTTGCATTTTTCTGGCAAGATAAGCAATATTAGTGCCTAATTAAAGTGAAAAGAATATTATAGACTTCTAATCTAACTATATAATTGCATTACGACTTGTATAAAGCGTTAAAAATGATAATCAAGGCATTTGCATTTTCGTGAGGATTAGAGTAATATAGCCCTCTAGCAGTAAAGTCCAGAACTAGTGAATTCAAACTTTCCTTACTTTTTCTATAACACTTGATCATTTTCGACTGTCAAATATTTCAAACAACATTTGAACATTATATTTATATTATACTTACATAAAAATTGTTAATTTTGCAAAAACAAGTCATTTTTTATCTCACTAATTGTGCCGCTTTCTAGTAGATGGCGTTAGCCATACTGTTTGTAAATTGTATTGATATAAAATTTAAAAACATAAAAATATTGTTAATATTTTTGATGATATTAATATCAAAAGTAATTTACGGAAAAGTAACATTCATTTTCATAATTAAATACTATAAACTTTAGTATACAACTGAACAGTGCGAATGATAAAGTAAATATTAATTTAAATTTTTCTGCGTAAGCGTTTATACACAAGTGGTGGGTGGTATAGATCTCTGTATATGATCTATACACCGGAGATACCTATATCCATCATCTATTTGAAATTCCGCGATTTGCTTCATTTTAACAAAAGGCATCGAGTTGGGGAATAAAAATTTCATTGGACGCATAAAGTTTGAATAGTATCTCGTGAATAACTTACTAGGAACTCGCTCTTGGGCATCCAAAGCCGCAGTCAAAAGAGCACAAGCGTTTCCGGGGCTGAGAGTAGTGGAGACGTGTTCCACGCAACTCCTTCGAAGTTCTTCGACACCGAGTTCGTGAGCGAGTCCTAGCATCTCGAAAATGCCACTGTCCTGCAGCATAATCTATAGTAAAGTTGAGAGAGTGAAACTCGGTCATACTCTTTGCTGAAGTTTCGTTTAAATTTTTATCAGAGGTTTTCTTTACACGTCTCTTTAACTTATAAGAAATGGGGCTACAGAGAAAGAATGTGCATTTGCTCTTTTCTAAGGTTTTATCGTTATGACATAAATGGATGTAAGCACTGAAATAGAGGACATACATTGTGAATTTTTTACTATAAAAAAGTAAAATATCTTTTTCTTTAAAACATCATAATTTTGCCTTATGCATTTGCCTTAAGAAAAGTTCAGTAATTCTCTAACACTTGGTACTGAAATGTTGTTTTTAAAAAAAAGACTCTTTCTCTGTAATTTTTAAGTACTATTTACCTTGCCCGTGTAAATGTAATGAATGAACTGTCGAAACGTCTCTGAATGAGCGTGTGGCATACGCACTGGCGTTGGATTTCCGGGTGTCCCGATCCTCTTCGCAGCCGTGAAGTTCTTGCACCTGAGAAATCAGTCGAACGACATCGGTTCTTAACGACAATAATTGGCATGATACGAACAGGATACGGCGGGGTGAGGAAGACAATGAAAGAGGAGCACCTCTTTGAATCGCGCGAGCGTAAATGTGCTGTGGGTGCGTGGCCGTTCTCTAACGAACACCCACCACTTCGCCTTTCGTCATCTCCGCTTCTCTACTTCTGCCAGTGTTTCTTGTTACAAAAGGGCTTAATTGACTTCGTCAGGAAGCTCCGTTGCCACGAGAGTATTCGTAACGTACGCGGTCGTGCTTTAGTTTTACGTTCCTCTAGAAATTAATGGCAACCTTCGAACAGTCACTTCTCAACCCCTTTTTCTCTCCCTACGGCGAAACTCCGCCAGAACTCGAGAAGAAGAAATTTTTTACTGACACCCCGATAGCTGAAAGCGGATCCCCCATGACCCATTGGGAGAACATTCGATCTCGGCTTTTCTCTCTTACACCATTCCCAACCTCGTACGATACTAGATACACAAAAGGTGAGCTTTTAATATCGACAAGTCTAGAAACGAACAGTACGCTTTTCTTTATTCCTGAATCGTCGATGCACTTCACGTATGTCCTTTCGCGTAAAAGCTGGCGTATCCTTCGGGGTGTATTGCAACGATCTTTTCGAACTCTTCATCTACCATTTTCCATCGATCGATTGATTTTAGACTCTTCATTTTCCTTTTCGAAAATTTAGTAGGTATCGTTTCCTAATCTATGGAAGTCTTTCGTTTGAACATCTCAATGCCTAATTCTAATCGAAGTACCTTCGTATTTCGTAAATTCGGATCACCATTGACCCAGCTCCGCTGCTTAGAGGTTGAGAAAAAAAGTGCCTTATACTTCACGTGTCAAAGGAACAAGAAATCAAACGTCAGAGAGTTGAAGATCGCAAAAGCGCGTAAATTCTTAAACGAGCCTTTCGAATGCTCGAAGACACTCGTGACAAAAGTCAGCCCGGTTTCTAGTGCCTACCGTTCTAAATCGTGAAACGTAAAAAGATTTCGTGTGCCAGAAACGAAAGAGGAGGTCGTGGCACGGGGTTGCAAAGGGGAGGAGCGAGGAGGGGATGGAAGCTCGCACGGGCGTTCGTATCGAATCAAAAGAAAATCCGTCAAAGAGCGAGCGCAAATGGAAAAGGCATGCACCGTGCTGCTTTGATATTATAACCGACGCGTTAACAAACGCTCGGCTTCGTCGACGGGTGAGCGGGAAAGTTGGATAAAAAAAAAAAAAAAAAAAAAAATCATGGTCGACCCATGAAACATGGTTGCCGAGTCGACAGAGGAAAACTAGTGCTCAAAAAAATTAAAAACACGGCAGAGGAGGAAGTAGTAGGCGCACAGGTGCGAATATAGCCTCGCGCGCAACGGGTCGACTTTTAACGGATCGAAAAGAGAAGAAGGAAAACTCGGGCTTTATGCTTTCCGGTGTAGTTCGGAAACGATGCGGGCTGCGCATAATATCAAAGCGACAGTCCACGCATTTATGTCCGCAAATTAGAGGGAAATATATTCGAGTACGTATCGAGGATTTCTCTTTTTGCCGGGTTTCCTCGTTCTCACATAGCATCATATAATTATCGCTCGAACGTCGGTTTCCGTGAAACTCGAGCAAGGAACAAGTTTCTCTCGAGATCTAACACCTGAACATCTAAGACGCGTACGTAGCGAAGAATTTCGAGAGAACCGGCCGCGATATCGGGGATCGCGCGAAGAGGCGAGAAGAAAAAGGAAAATGAGAGGGGAAGAAAGTATTAGGAGGAAAAATCAAGGCACACCTGCGGGTGTTCGGCGGTGATGGATGGTACGCGAACAAGAAGCGTGTAGAGAGGCGAAAGAAGAAGGGAGGTAAAAAAGAAAGGAGAAAAAGGTGGGAAAAAGAAGAGAGGAAAGTCGTGGAGCGAAGCTTTTCCCTAATCACAGGCGAACGCCGCAGCGGAATCAAAGAAAACCAAATATCAGCGAGTGACGCCGAGAAAAGAATAGGGCACCGCGCGTCTGGTGTGACGACGAGGTGTCACGGGGGTGGTAACGTAGGTTCACGAGCCTCGACGTGGAAAGAGGATGTTAGGGGGTAAAGAGTAGGAGGACGCTAGGCGGTGGCGGGAAACGAGGGTCGTGGCTGCTTGGTTTTACGCCGGCAAGGGTTGAATGTCGCCGCGGGCTCCGCTACTAACGACCAAGCGTGTGCGATTATATAGCGGCTCCGTCGATCTCCGTGCAAAAACCGCCTCCGCTTCCGGTGCACCAGAGGAGTCAAATTCCCGCCACACCTCCCTCGTTTCCCGTACCCGATCGAAACGACTGCTTCTCTCCACCGTCCATTATCGGGATCCCGGACTCGAACGTATAGTATAGTCGAATGCGTAATTACCGAGGGAAAGTGTGCCGGTAACGAAGGCTCCTTTTTCAATCGGAAGCTCTTTTTCACCCCGGGACGAAGAAGTTTGTAGAACAGATCGGTCTTGAGGTTTATAATTGTTTTAAGGAAGCCTAATATTAATTTCTGATGAATTTAAAGCTTTCTTATATGAAGGTTTATGTTATTTATTTTCTTCTTTTCTAATAAGGATTAGCGAAATAGGCGACAGGTTCAAAGAGGGATGTTTTAATAGGCATCATTTGGTATTTGCATGTATAAATTAATTTGCTTTCAATAAAGCTGAATTAGCTGGTTAAGTCGTATCAGCGACGAGTCAAAGGCACGACGTAACGTAAGTACTCCTTGAAGTGTTAATAGCGGTCAATTCAACGCGGAATCCTATAAAAAGGACGAGTAACGAAGGGATTACGTTGGCGAGTACCATTGAACGGCACCGGAGCCTGAGCTTATTTTTTCAATTTCCTTTCTCCCGTTTTCAAGCATCGTTCTCGTCCGCGTCGCGTTTCGAAATGACAAGGATTACAAGAGGCAGAGAGAGGGTAGGAAGGGCGGGGTCACCGGGTCTTTGTCAGGATTTTCAGCGTACCGAAGAGCACCGCGTAGAGTTTCGAGTGCGGTCGCGTATTGTCCATTCGTTTCTCCTACGGACGCCTGTCACCGGCATGCGTAACTTAATTTTCCGAGGCCAGAGATGGAAAAGAGAGACGACGACAAAAGAACCAACGACGCTCCCTTTCGCGTCGCGATATCAAAAGGTTTCACGGGACTATCGTAATTGACATTGCAATTAGCATCGAGCCTATCCGGACGGAACGTCGAATGCCTGGCTCCCTAACACGCAACGCGGAATCGTCCTAACGACAATTAGAATTCCGTGGAGTTAAAACGCGGCCACTAGCCGAGACTGAATCCTCGAATAGGCTGCTTTTCTCTTATTGTCCAACTAATTAGAACGTTCAATCGATTCATTTCGCCGTAACAATCGGGAGCTCCTCTTAATTAAAATTCATCGCCGCCGCGGACTTTCCGCGATGGAGGAAACTTTGATGACTTGGCAATTCCATTTTTCTCTCTCCCTCTCTACCTTTTCCTGTCTACCGCGAGTACGCCTGTTCGACCAAGAATTTTCATAGAGTTTTCGCTGATCGAACCGGTGTTTCGCGAGTCGAGTACCCTTCCGCTTGGCTAGTCTTTCCCTTTTCTTGCGAGACGAACAGGGGAACAGAAGGTAAAGGGCAACGGAGAGGGTATAGGTAAATTATGTATATCTACAGGATCGTCGGTGACTTTGGAAATTTAACGAAGTTATCATTTCCTTGCCGTTGCGTTCGTTTGCAATTCCGGCGGGAACTTTAAGCCCGGCCATTTTATCTCTGCCGTTCGAGAGAAAAGTTTCTTAACGCGGTTACAGCGAAGCGAGTTCCCTCGGGTCTGTCGGATAAACGACAAGTTACGGTGCTCGTAAGCAAGAAAACACTATCGCGAAAAAATTTGAAAAGTAATCTCCATTAGATATTTAATTTTTCACACAAAAATAATAAATTTTCCGGTAAATTTTACGCGAAGATTTTAAATCTTTGGTTGGTAGTGTATTTTCCAGCAGATTTGTTCTCGTGTCTAGAGAATGAGACAGCATAATGCGTCACGTTTCAACGATAAATTCCGCAATTTTTCTGGAAGACGTCGAGGCCCGTTGTCTCGATAACACGACGTCCCGTTTTTCACGAGTAACCGCGGAAAACGCGCGAGTTTCTCGACTCGTTCGTCTCCCGCGTGATTTCACGCATCCTTTCGATACCTTTTCCCCTGTCCCCGAGGGAATCCTGCTTGGCTGCGAATCGATCGATGAGACGCATCGACGTGGCGGTTTTAATAAAAATTACGATTAACAATTAATTAATCCGGTCCCGCGGCGCGCTGCTCGCGGTAATAAAATTTCTGACTTCGCTTGCTGTCTATTCGTGGGAACGCGTCGAACCTGTTCCCGTCCCCAGAGGCGTTGAATGATATCGACGAGGAAAAGGAAATAGTATAAATTGTCTCATTGTGTGCCCCTCGCGTGGAATATCCATTCGGCGAGGACATCGATGCAGGCTGGTAAATTATGGTAATGCCAGGTTAGTAGTCGTAAATTTACCCCCTTAGCAGTTGTAGGGTCCACATTTCTGCACCTCCATCAAAGATAATAAAAATATTAACGATATCAAACTTCTATGTTTTTCGATTTCTAGTCATGAAATTGTTTCAACCATTTCGTTACTTAAAGGTAACCATAGGCACTCGTAAAAATCTGACCATTGACCGGACCTAATTGTCATTCAGCATTAGACTGTGAGCATCGTAATGCATCGGGTACTGACCTTGCTTTTAAGATAATTCTGTGAGCGTACACCGGCGTTTCGTCCCGTCCTAGAAGGAATACTATGTCAGCTGTATCTTTGTCCTCGGAAAGTCGGGCCAGGTCCTCCAAAAGTCTCGGTACACCGGCTAAGCCTGCTTCGCCGGATACCCCTGCTGCTCCTGGTGCCGCCCCCACGGCGACTGCTCTAGTTCCCATGATCTATGAATTCGAAATCACCAACTGCGTGGGAAACAAAGAAAAAAGAAATTAGTTAACGAAGTCACATGTATGTTATCCAGGGGGTTCTTCTAGTTTGTGAGAGAGCATCTGGTTTGAATATCGAGGCTAATTCGGTAGCTGTTGACAGTTTAATATTTCTATGAATACTTGATAATCTCTAAGCGAAGACGTTTAATTTTAATAGAATTCTCAATCATTAATCAAATTTTCTTCATTTTCAATCGTGTCAAAGAATCGATTAAGTCAGCAGCAGTTATCGAATCCTCCTCTTTAAAGACATCCTTCCGTTCAGCAATGGTGGTACCGATCGCGAGAGTATGCGCAGCCGGTGATACAAGCAATTCGCGATAATCCGAAATTAATGGGGCCGCAAACAGGAATAAACCCGTGACTGATGACGGGATGCGCGAATGGCGGTTCGCGTGTGTCATCGTCTCGAACGCTTTCCGGTGGCATCCGCGAATCGCGAGCCTGTAACAGCAGCGACAAACCAGGCGTGGAAAAAAAGCAAAACCGATTAACGCACAATCGGCGCTAATTGCGCGATTAATATTTGATTTGCACCGCGTCGCGTCGTCGCTTGGCTCTCCCTCGCACCGTCCCTTTCTCGCTCGCTCTTCACCGGTCGGTCGATCGACGCGGAGATTTTGTGTCAGGGCGGTTGGTTGATTCCCTTTTAATTAGTTCGCGTTTTGTTGTTTTCGAACGCGTCGATCGGGAGGGCACGCGATCGCCGGTCATTTGCCCTCTTTGATTTCCCCGCTTCGACAACGAGTTTCCATTAAAAAGCCATCCGACGAAGCTTCTGTTTATTCCCGACTGAGCAGGTTGCGCGTTAAAAAATGAATTAACGACCGGGATGTCGTGGCTGCCTTTGCTTCCCATTTCGACAAGTTACCGATAGCTATGGATATTTCATACATTCTGCTGCAAATTTCTTGTACAATTTAGAATTATTTTCGTAATAAATTATTCAAAATCAAAAAAGGCTAGAAGCGTAATAATTTAAAAAATGCTACAAATTGAAAATTCAATTTTCCAGTTTTCTTCCTTTTAATACATTTTTTTCCAACACCCTGTATATTCAAAGTGATTGCTAGCCCCGTCATTAGTTATTGATTCGGGCATGAAAAACACGTATTACGGATAGAGATGGGATCTAAGTACATTGCAAGTAGGTTCGAATCGATAGCTTCGCACAGTTCATGAATACTTTGAAGCAATGCTTTCAAGTAGATTCAAACCTAGATAAGATGGATTGAAACTTCTTAACACATTGATTACAGCGGTAGAAATGGACACATGAAACTTTCACGGTTCAAGATTCCTTCGAACGATAAAGTACTTATAAGTACTTTCTCGAACCCTATAGGTACTCATCCTGGGCTTCGAAACCAGTTTGTATAATCTGAGTACTTATACACAAAATAATATTCAAGTATCGTGAAATGTAACTTTTGTATTGCATTCGCGAGTGTTTAATGAATTTGATCTTATCATTGGACACTTGGGTGCCAAGTCACCCTTACCTGAATGATGTATGAATTTCTATAATGATCTGTCATCTCACTTACCTAATTACGAGTAATTTAACTAAATACTAAACTAGATTCACTGAGAACGAAATAAATAGGATTGCGTACGATTTTGTCTTATTCAAAGAATTAATCACAAGTATTATTATCACAGTAACGATTTCACACAATTATATTAAATATTTGTATACTTTCGAAGGTACTTTGACGAATGATTATCGCGAATCCGCGTATCAGCTACAACTACGATAGCTCATCAGCTCTGATTTGAATTCGCTTATACGTTCAATATCATTCTTCAAATAAATAAACAACCGTCTACACTCTGGAATGCTCGTTACCAAACACTGTCGCTGTCGATCGCTTCGAGATTCCACGAACTTTAGGTTGTCGAGGCAAAGGAAACTCACCTGACGATCGTGATTCCGCGTTTCAGAAGCTCTTACCTTCGAAGACGTGACGCGATTATTCCAAGAAACGTCGAAGAGCGTCTAAAGGAGCCGCGATGGCACACGTGGAGGAGCGTTGGCTTTACACGCGAAACACTGCATCTTCTAACCGATCCACGGCATATTACACTCTCACGGGGCGAAACATTGTCCTCTGAAAAGTAATCCGGTGGTATTGGTTGCTCCAGAACGCGAACGTACTCCCGCGAGGATCACCGCGTGTAGAGAGGATCGATATGAAAAAAATCAGCGAACGCGGATGAAGAGCGACTGCCTTTCGGCCGGAAGTTGGCAAGTTCAACACCAGCTATTTCTCAGGCACGAGACGAGTTTTACGAGAGCTGGACCAGGCCTGCTCTGTACCCGCCGTCTTCGTAGCTCCTTCTTACCGTCTCGTTCTATCGTTCCCTCAGGTGTGCTCGCACCTCTTTCGACCGTGGCCGCTTCCCTTCCTTTCTTCTCGTTCTCGCGTGGCCAATGCTCCTGCAAGATCACTCCTTCTCCAGCCGTTGTTGCCAGATCCTCTCTGGAGCACCGATCACACGATCAAAAAGGATACACGCGTTGCCTCATTCCAGCTAGCAACGAATGCTCGTCTAAAGGCCCATTTATACGTCGATAGGCTTAACTCGGAAACGTTACACTTTCCTAGAACTAGTTCATAATATTTCTCATTGTTCTCAAGCAAATTCGCTGATAACGAATATTTCACGAACTTATGATGAATCAACAATCGGGCTCGTCTGAACGGCGCTGTCGATGAAAAATTCATTGAAATGACGAGAAACGTTATATTTTATACAATTTAACCCATCCAAAATACCGAGGGTCATCAATTTCGAATGATGATGTGGAAAAATGCTTCTGACACGCTGGAACATTAATTATTAACAATTCGATGGATTAATTTTTTAAATTCAAAGTTTGCTACCTTCTGTTATTAGCATATTACCGAAGCTATTCGAAGATGATCTATTCTCTTCTTTTATTTATTATTCGAGGATAGAAAATTTGAAACACTGGCCGTCGATGGCCACGTCGGTTAACGTATTAACTCGGCCCCCCTTCATCGACAGGATCCGACATTTTTGCGTGTTTCAGACCGCCAGCGATCTTCTAGCGTCGCATATCTTATCCGCATTCCTCCCTTTGTTCTTCTTAAATCGTAGCAAAGGCAAGACCACTTGCTCGTCCATCTTCTACTCCTCTCGTCTCTTGTTTTCCAGACGGACTTCCGTGGTTTTGCTCGGTTGAGCGATACTGCCGCAATGCGGTGCTTCCTGCTTTTCCGCAAACAAAACGAGATCGTCCTTTTATTTGCCACGATCTGGACAGTCTTGTCCTCTCGTGGCTCAGCCGTGATTTCTTGAACCCAGCCTGGATCGTGACTCGCAAATTCTAGAATCGATTTCGTACACAAACTTAGAATCGTGATCTCAAGGAGGTTCAAGTGTTTTCTGCAGAATCATCGTTTCATTTCTCTCAATAATGGCAATAATTACTTAGATATCGTAATTCTTGAAAATCGTTCAAGAGAATTCAATTTTTAATTAAACCTGACTGAGAGAATAAATACGTTTATCAAAGTCGCTCATTTTTCAGTCATGAAACAAGCATTTCAGAATCTCGCCTGTTTCTCGGTGTAATTTGTACTGCTGCCATTCTAACAGGATATGCTTTATCTTTCCATGTTTCTCATTTACTTTGCCGTTCCATACTTTGGAGCATTACCGCGTTACGCGACGAAAATGATAAATTACAGGTAGACGTTGCGCCTGTCTCGTTAAAATGTAGGGATCTACGATTAAATTTCTAGTCTACTACAGTGATCGATCGACGGTAAGGCAGACGTTTCATTCTTGTTAGTGTGGTATCGATTGTTGGTTCAATGATATCGATTCATCGATAAATGTAATAATATCGATGCATGGTAGAATCGAATTAACTAATGATTTAAGAAATTCCCGTTTAGGGTCCCTCTTCATTGAGGATCGAAGATTCAAATTTTATTTGGGTAATCAAATAATTAACAAAAGAAATAGGAAAACAAACGTTGAACAACAGTATTATTATGTTAATAATATAAGATAAACAATTGAAAGCTTGCATTTGAAAATTATGTATTTGTATTCTTAGTAATTAGAGCTTTGATGTCTGACTATTTATATCCACTTCTATTGTGGCAATGAATGCATTAGCACATTGAATGCTATGGGAGTAGAAAAATATTTTAATACTGCTATTGTACAAATAATGTAAAATTCCTAATCTAAATAATTAGAGCTTCAATATGTCATTTTCACCTCTTTCAAAGTGTTAGCTAATTTAAATTCATTATTAGCATAATATTAATGCCACTCAAAATAATACTGAATATATTAAAATTGTGGTCCCCCTGCAGTCAACCCGTTAATCAACATAATTTCAATAGCAAGAGGGAGAAAAATCTCCATTCGTTTCGTTTTTCCTGGCAAGTGTTTCAACAAGGAAAGCGATGAAAATTCGCTGTCGCCAGGTGGATCGTACATAATTTTATATAATATGGCACACATTAGGCGTGAAGTGTCTCTCGTGGGGATGGGACGCGAGTATCCAGCCTCGGTAATATCCGAGGCAGTTTTTTTCTCCGTGCTGAAATGGAATCCCCGGCAGTAATAATCGGGGAAAGATCACTTAACGGGCCCTTCAGTGTAAGAGCTCAACCACCGTCATTCGCACCTCCGCGAATTTGCTGGTAGCGCCTAACGAAATTGCCGCATTATGTCGTTTAACGGCCTCGGAAATACCACGGATCGGGAAGCGAGAAGAGAGAGAATAATAAAACACGGAAGAGAGGGAAAGATGGAGTCGCAAAGCTGCCACCGGACGATAGTGAACGAGGCGAAAAAGAGACGGAAGAACCGGGGACGAGAAAATTACACGGGATGTCCGCGTGATAGAACGATGCGACGCGACGCCATAATACAGTAGGTTTCAGAAGCATACCAACCCCCAAATATTTCAATGTTTCGCCCTTTCAGGAAAAAATTTATTACACCTCATCTTTTTCTATTAATGTACATAATACCATGAAAGCGAGTAAGAGAGAAGAAATTATAATAAATTTCCAAGTATAACAGTTTCTGCTGTAAAATAATTATTTTCAATTGTTTCATAAATGTAGAAATTTTAGTTACTTTTGTTAGATTTCTACCACTGAAATAATCAATTTTTAGGGGGTTGGTATATTTTTGGAGGGTAGTGTACGGGAAAAGGTGTCAGAGAGTGCGAACAAGCGGATCCGAGGTTCGCGCTGCATAATAGATGCGTCGGCTGCGCTTTAGCGCAAACAGGAACAAATTCCTCGGTGCACTCGTTGCAACAATTGAATCGGTAATCAAGCCGGTCCCGATAATCGAATCAGAGCCGGCTACACGCGTAATTGAAATTTTGCAGCCGACCACTGCAAATATCGCACCGCCTACATCCCTTTTCATTCGTTGCGCAGCCCGAAATTACCCTGCACCAGTTTTCCCGAATCGACGTTCGAATCGAAAATGTTGTCCGTCGGTTGTGCGGCAATCTTACAAATTGTCGCATAGCCGCGGACAGGGGTGAGGAGGGAACGAAATTGATCGTCGACGAGGGGATGATCGATAGAGACGCCGATGTCACGGACCGTTCAACGTTTCACGATATAATTCGAGCCGATGCGATTCCGCCGCGTGAAATCGTATTTCCGACATCGAAAAGTTCGCGCGACGGGACGACGTCAAATACAGACGACTCCCGCCATCCTGGGCAGGGGAGTCGCATAATATCGGTCTGTTTCGAACGTCACTCGAGGGATTTCTGAGAACCCGCCAAGGAACAGACAGCTGGGGACGTTTTCCGTTTCCATTCATGAAGGAATATCGAAATTCGGCCCGTTCGTTGGCGTTATTGCGGTTGACAGGAAGATGAATTATCTTTCGCGTTGATGCTCTACCATGGAAATTAAGTCAAAGTCCCAAAGTCCACAGCCTAAGTACCGAGCGTCGCCGACTTTCCGGACGGATCCTTAGTGTCTGTAGGAAACCATAATACCAGGTTCAAGTTGACAGAGGGAAAAATTTAAAAGTTCCCATTTCACTAACAAAGGGAACTACCCAAGTGTTACACTCATTTATTAATGAAACTTTGCCAGCTTGTAGAGCTCGTCGAGGCGAACACGCCTATATCCCCTTTTGGGGGCAGACGGCTAATTGTTTAAAAGATATTAACAATTACAGTTAGTTACTCCTTACATTCTGAAGTATAACAAACTCACACATACAACTCGCAATCTAGAGATCCACGGTTCAAATCCTTGGTTCCCAACATTTTTTTTTTTTTTTTTTTAATGATAATTTGTCTCCTTTTGAATAACTATTACATAAAAATTATCATAAAAAAAAAAAAAATTGTTGGGAACTCAGGATTTGAACCCATGATATTTAGATTGCGAGTCATGGATCCGCTCCGTGGTTAAACACATGACTCGCAATCTGAAGGTCCTCGGTTCAAATCCTTGGTTCCCATTTTTTTTTTTTTTTTTTTTTTTTAATAATAATTTGTCTCTTTTTAAATAACTAAAATTCTATATAATTCTAAACTAAAATTCTATATTCTATTTTGAGTAACTTAAATTCTATAAAAATTGCAGTGTATGTAATTAATTATTAATAAATGCAATGATTATAGCACGTGCAATGAGTACCGTGTGTTGCCGACTTTCCGGAGGGATCTTTAATATTTGTCGGAAACAGTGCGAACAGCACAATGTGTATATAGTTAAACCGGACATGCTGAATAGAATCGAACGTATAAAAGAATTCACTTTCAATGTTCAAATATAAAAGCCTATCTTTTAACGCATTTTACCGAGAGAAAATGAGAATTAATTATGGCAGGATTTAAAAATAAGCACTTGATTAACGCGGCTGACCGGATCAGATGTTCTTGCTCGTGAGAACGGGATGCTTTCTACGAGCGAATTTCATTTCGCAAACCGAGAATAAAAGAAAGCCTGGAAAAGAAGATGCAACCTCACCCTTCGCAGGTTTTTCGCGTAAATTGACCCTGACGAAGGAAGCATTTCTGTAAACTACTTTCATTCCCTCCCTTTTGTGCCGTTCCGTGGTGGCTTTGGCTGAAAAGCTCGTGGAAAATGCACGGTCGGCGACTCAGTATCAATTGTAAACAGTAATTATTAACAACGCCATTGTCGTTGACTAGAGACCGCCTTAATAATCGGCCCAACGAATCCCAGATCGTTTTATACGGCTGCAGAAGATCACTCTTCTCGCCCGACCGTGGCGCCAGCTCACAATGTAGGATTATTAACAGAGATTCTTAGAATGTGGAAATCCTCTTTAATTAGGAGCAGTTGAAAGCGCGACAAGACGAGAATGATGTCCA